TCATTATAAAATAATTAATTGTTTTATATATTCACACGTTCAGAACTTGGGATTAGGCGTATTCGAACAAATAAAAGAACCTTCAGAGTGCGATATTATAATGGATCCAAAAGGGGCAACTTCTAATAATTCAACTAAACCAAAAATAAGAAACCCAACAACATCGTCCTTGATAATAACCAAATTAGTGATGATTAGTAACGATTGAAACAATGTTTGCTTTAATCCAACAATAAATATTTTATTAATTCGCTATTCCCTAAAACTCGATGTAAAATATCTTAATTTTAATCGTGGAATTAAATCAATGTTTTATGTTCAACTTTATCCGGCTGTAAAATTAACTCGGATGAAAAAAATTGATCTTATAATAGGAAGTTCTTTGCTGATTGATAACTTACTTCTAAATCATCAGATAATTTTATGATCGAGCCTGCTGCCTCTACGTAATGATAATATCCTAGTAATATCAAATAGATTGAAAATAAAAAATGGATATATTTATTTATATATTTCATTGTTGTTCACGAAAACTTTTTAATCAGTTGCTTAGTCGCATTTAACCAGTATAGTAATTTACCAGCAACTACGACGCGAAGTAATACATCATTTATTTTTTTAACTTATCAAACAACTTTCCAAATTTTAATCGTATTTAACATCATCATGTAAGAAATCACCAAAGGAAATCAAAGTTAATGGTTGATTGTATGAAGAGTAAGGAATATTTTATAAAATCTTTGAACGATCCGATTCTTTGAGGATATGCGGTTGTTCCTTTGCCTACGTCAAATTTATTTACAAGTTAATGTCGACCTATTTTTTAAAATATGATTATTCCGGAAGAATTTTAATGATGTGTATTTAACAACATGTAGTATCTTGATTCGAATTCGAAATTCCTGAAGTGGTATAATAAAAAGTTCTTGATAATTATAATTACAATTTTTAATTATCAGATTCCTATGAAAAGTAAAAAAAAAAAATAAAATAAAATGTAAGCATGTCGCATTAAGTACTAATGTAACCGCATTTTGATCACGACATTTTCTTTTTGATTTACCTACTTCGCATTTTTATGTACAGTAACCTATGGTTGACCATCAACCATAAATTCACGTTAAACGAATCGTAATAACTTATTGATAATGATTCAATACGAAAGCGAGAAAAAAAAAATTGGTTAATTCATTTGCATAAAGTATAGTTAAAGCAATGAATGCTATACGACAAATCTTAATGATCGAGTTGCATTGGTCATGTGAATTGATCATCATCTTTCCTGAAGTGGAAACTTTAACGTGTAGAAAATTACTGTATATATATATATATATTGGGTTTCCAAAAAAAAAAAATAAATAATTTCATTATTTCCTGTTTCGCGAAGACAGCCTTTCGCAAGCACATCTGTTTTTATGTCCCCTCCTTCCCCCATTTATATTTATAAAAACCAGAAGTTTCTTTGAAAAACAGCTGCAAAGGTCTACTAGTTCTTTACGTGGTTCCGGTTATGCGCTTCCCTTTTCAGCAGAGAACTTCGACCAGAAAGAAACTGGTTACCAAACTCCAGAACAGATAACTGGTTACAAACGCCCAGAAGGACAGAACTGGGGTATCAAACCGCCAAGAAGGAAAACTTGGGACATGAAAGTGGGGTATAAAAAATAAAATATAAAAAAAAAAAAAATTAAAAATTAAAGGCATTAAGATAGAAACCCAAAGGCTCTCTCGGTTGAGGAGCTCCATTTTTTTTTGGGTTGCGATGTGTACTGACGTCCTTATCGTGCAACCTGGGTATTAGCATTTATTATGCTAGTAGCGAACAAGTACTATATTTTTAATCGTCGTGTTGTGTTCAGCTTTAATTTAAAAGGTTTTATATCAATAAAATTTTGTCATTTAAAGAACTCAAATAAATACAAATATTTAGTTTAATCTTTTAAAGATTCTTTTATTAGCACTTCGCAAAAAAATAAGGAAATTTAAAAATTTTTAAGTGAAATCGGTCTTGATAATTTATTCGCGCATTGATTTAAATAGATAAACGTATTATTCGTATAATTGTAAATCTTGACGCGTCCGTCGATCAATTATCGTTCACAAAATTTATTAAATAATCGTTCTAAAAAAAAAAAAAAAATCTTCAATAGTAAATTTTTATTGATTTAATTAGTTCTCCAACGACATATGCATATCGATATCCATTTTTTATAATTTATATATAAAAATTTATTAAATTGTTGTCTAAATGACAACAAAAGGCTATAGTACAAATTTAGAATATATCTAAGCAAAGATTAATTACTATTATGTTTTTTTTTAAATTTTCGAAATTTTTTTTTTTTTTAACATTAACCCGCAGTTGCACTTCCATAACGGATGAGAAGGAAGCGGAGCGGGTATAGGGTGATAGAGTAGATTCATGCTATGAACGAGTTGAATTTATTGACTTGCGTGCTTTACCATCTAGGATTAAAATGTTAATTTAAATAAGGTTGATCATCATACTTTAATTTAGCATAAAAGGATATTTACCTCCTTAGCCCATCAAGTAACTTCTTTTGTACCATTAGGCAAATTGCGATTAGTTCGACCTTCCTTCAATGCAGCATGAACAAAATCGGCCA